GGAGGAAGAGCAAAAGGGAGGAGGATGAGGAAAGGTGAGGGAGAGAAAGGCTCGATTCTCCATGCCTCGGAGGGCCCCTGCGAGGCGTACTGCCGCGCCCCAGTCTGCGTCGGGTGGCTGCCCCGCGCGGCGCTGCGGGCCGCCGGGCCGACGCCCGCGGCGGCGCGCAGCCGCGCATGGGCGCCGGTGGGCTGGCCCCACCTTGAGGGGCGGGGATTCCGAGACGGGGGTCAATGTAAGCGGGGGTCAGCCAGAGCGTCGGTTCTTACAGGGCCCGGCATTTCCAGGGGTGCCCTCACGTGTCAGCGCGCATGGTGCAGCAGTAATGATCCTGCAGCATCATGCAGGATCCCACCAAAGAATGTTGTAACAATCTTGTGTAGTTTGCACGAAGTGCTTTTACGAACAACCTTTCTGGCTGAGACTGTCTTGTTTTGCGACATTTGGTTCATGTTCTAAGAAGCGTGCTTTTGCTATTAGAGCACTTTTCAACTCTAAGAACGCTTCGTGGTAGCCCTACAGGAATGCCAGGACGGGCGGTCCCTACTCAAAAGATGGGGTCCTGAGGAATGTGGCCTTGAGGACAGGAAGGGATTCAAGGGTGGATTTGCATTGTTTGAAGTACATCGCTCTTAGGACCCCATCCCTCAGGACCCCATCTTTGAGCCACCGACACGTAACGGGGGTCAGCGCCGACGGGGGTCAGCCAATCTTCTCTGGCTGGCCCAGGTTTAGGTTGGGATCCAGACATGCTCGCGCTTTGGACACCAAAAAAAGTGTGTTTCACCGTTTTCGGCCTCTGGGGGCCCTCGCTGGGCCCCGGGACTATCCAAAAACGACTCAGGATGAACCAGTCCCTAGGAGAAGTGTCGAGATTTCGGGGGACCGTATGTTGGAACATCAGATCGTCGCATGTCTGGGATTCCCCCGAGCCGCCCTCCGCTGACCCAGATTTTGGAGCTACTTTGAGGCCTGCCTGGGTTCGCGACCTCGCCCTGTCTAACCCGAGTTTGCTCCGACCAGGGTTTTTGAAAGCGTCCACGAGGATGGGCGGGGACCATCGATCGTGGGCCCCCAAAACGGTTCGGCTACGCGTGAGAGTGACCTTTCGCTGGAGTGACCTTGAGTGCGGGCCTTTGGCTGGGGCGCTCGGATTTGGCCCACTTGCGGTCCCCTGGGGCCGCGCACCAAAGGTCACCCTTGCCCAGGGTCATTCTTGCCTATAGCCGAAACGCCAAACTCGGCCTCCTTGATGGGGTCCGAGCGGATGGGGTCGGAGGATCGCGCCGCACCGCCGATGCATCGCCGATGCGGTTCGATGTAGAGCCAACGGCGCTGGCGTTGGCGATGCGGCGCGATCATCCGGCCCCATCTATTCGGACCCCATTTTGGAGGCTTCTATAATGGGTGTGGTGACTACATCGCGTGGTGAGTCGGTGGGGAGTCGGGGTCACCGTACGGTTTTGGGACTCGGGTCGTTCTCCGAAGGCGTCTCGGGCGATTGGGGCCTCCAAGTTCCCAAAACCCCAAAAGCGTGCGGTGACGTACCGCGCAGCGAGGTCGTTGGGGATTCCGAGGTCACCACGCGGTCCGTGTCACCACGCGGTCCGTGTCACCACACGGTTTTGGGACCTCGAAATCGATCAGGGGCAACGTTGGGGCCTGGGGAGGCTCGAGGATCGAGATTCGCGTCCTGGAGGCTGTTGATCCTCCTGGGGCGCCCTCGTCGCCACGGCTGGGTCCGCCTCGGAGTTTTGCCCACAACACACTGCAGGAGAGGTCCCTGGGATCCACTGTTGACCCCTGTGCAGGGCCAACGCTGGGGGCTTTCAGGTCTGGGTGTTTCTCACGCTTGCGTCGGTTCGCGGCCGTTTGCCGACCTCGGTATGCCTTCCAGCAGCTGCGCCTCGCCGAGGACTTCCCAGGGGTGCCCGCATCGTCTCGAATGGCCGCTTCAGGCCCCAGTTACGACCCGGAAACCGAGACCAGCCACCATCGGGGGGGGGGGGGCAGGCTCAGGGCGGGATGCATCGACCCCCCATCGCCCATTGACTGCCGACACGGTCCTGCTAGCCCATGCAGCCCAGGAGCGTGCATGTTCGATATCGGGGGCCTGTCATTGACGAGGGTCGTCGGCTACACGTAAGAGGTTTCGGTTCCCTTGAGCCCCTCGCGTCGTGGACCAAATGGCGACGGGGAGCTTTGGCTATTTCCAGCCTCAGGGGGACCCTCGCCGGGCTCCGGGAGCGTCAAAAGACGATCAGAATGGAAAGCTGGCTCCGTGGAGCGGGTCGAGGCGCAAGGGGCCAGTGTAAAGACCGAAACAAACGACGTCCGGGGTCTGGGGAGGAGGATCGCTGGTGACACGTGGGAGTTTTCGGTTGGGGTAGCGCTCAGGGTTCTCGGAGGCTCCAGAGGATTAATTTGCTTCGGGTTGCGTTCCCGTAGCTGCGTGCGCTTCGCCGAGGGCGAACGGTCGCTGGAGACCCGATTTATGAACTGGACGCCGAGTGCGAATTCGCCGCCAGAGGGACCGTTGGTGCGCGGCTTCGGGGGGGGGCACGGGGGGGGGAGGCAGACCAAGCACGCAGGCCGCTGCTGTCCTCTCGCATGCGACGATCAGCGAGCCGCGCCTCAAGAGTCACATCTTGCCTGGATGCGACGATTGGCGAACCGCGCCACCAAGAGTCACATCGTGCCTGCGGGCAGCCCACACCGACGATCGAGGCCGGGAGGGTCGAGGGCCAGCAGGAGGGATCGAGGATCGACGGTCGAGGAGGGATTCGGGGTCGAGGGCGAGTCGAAGATGGAGTTTTCGGAGTCTCTTGGGAGTCTGTGGAGGGTCTCGCCGTCACGGCGAAGGAGAAGGAGCGGGGGGAGGGGGATGCACGGCAGGCCAAGACAAGACCTGGGCACTTGTTGTCTCATTTCCTGGCCCACCTGTCTGACTGGTGAGGCTGGAGAGCATAACAAGCGTTCCTGGTGGCTCTCACGCGCACCACGAGCAAGCTTGCGAGACTAGTAGTCCAATAGGGGCACTGAAGTCCCGCGTTAGTACGCAGGCGCACCGCACTACTTGCTGCGCTGAGGCGCGAGGCACGAGGAGGAGAAGGAAGAGGACGAGAAGGTTCGGCGGCGACTCAGCAAATGGTCTGAGCGTGAGCTCAGTAAATGCAACTGGCCGCCGTGCGCACAGGCTCACTCGGACTCCTGCGATGTCAGACGGTGTGCATCCCCTGGGCGCTGCGTTAAACACGCTTGCCCGCCCAGGACTGGCAGCTGCACCACAGCCTATCACGACGTCTGAGGGATCAACCATACAGGGCGACAGCTCCAGGTACAGGAGAGGAGAAGCAGGAGGAGGAGGAGGAGGAGGAGGACGAAGGCGACAACGGGGAGCAGAAGCAAGAGAAGGAGGAGGAGGAGGAGGAGCAGGAGGAGGAACAGGAGCAGGAGGAGGAGGAGAAGGAGGAGGAGCAGAAGCAGGAGCAGGAGCAGGAGCAGGAGCAGGAGCAGGAGCAGGAAGCGGGAGGAGCAGCAAGAGGCGCAGCACCGAGGAGGCCGCGGACGAGGGGCGGAGCAGTCTGCCGGCCGCCCCTCCGCGGCGCCCGCAGGCGGAGGCCGAGGCGAGGACCGCGGCGCCTGGCTGGCCACGGGGCCAGGCCCGCGAGGCGTGGGGGGGGGAGAAGCCGCGCCGTGGGGCCCCGGGCTGCCCCGGGCTCTACCCCGGTCCCCAGGGCAGCCCAGGGCAGACACTGCCCTAGGCGTTAGCATCGCTCGGACGTGTGCCTTTTTGCTTCGGCGAGGACCATCGAGGAGCAACCTGGATCATTTGGCGAAACAACCACGCACGAACCCGAAAAAAGCACAGGGAATGGACGTCCGAGCGATGGCGAGCTAGGCCTTAGCCAGGCGATCGCAAACATGGATCAGGGGGGCGTGGATGAGCGACGGGCCACGCTTCCAGGGGAGGCCGCGGAGTTTTCCGCCGCCGAGCGAGGCGGCACCGGCCGCATTCTAGGGAGGTGCTAATCCATGTTTGCGCGCCCCCGGCCCAGGCTCTACCCTGGGCCCTGGGGTAGCCCAGGGTAGACACTGCCCTAGGCCTCAGGGCACCCTAAGGTAGGACCTCTACCCCAGGAAGCCCTATCCTGGGGCCCTTGGGGTAGGCCGTAGGCCTAGCTAGGGGTAGGCCGACGGGTAGGCCCTGGGGTAGGCCCTGGGAGGGCTGGAGGATCGGAGTCTGGCAGAGGCCTACCGCCCAGAGTTTTGGCTTGGCGTCTCACTCCGTCAGTTCTGGCCCACCGCGCTTCGGCGCGACAAGCTAACCACCTCCCCGTCCCCAGGCGGTAGCGTTCCGAGCCTCTCTCAGCCTCCCGCCCCGCGGAGCGGAGCGACATGATCCCCGCTTGCAGGACATAGCGTGTCGCTGGGGCCGCCGCCGCGACACGCTAAGCGAAAGTTCTTGAGTGTAGGGATTGTCACCACACACCAGTGTCGACGGTTGCCTCCACCGAGGGAGGATAGTCCTGATCTCGGTGATGGTGGTAATGTTCCAGCTTCCCAGGGAGCCGAGAGGCTGCCACAAGCACCAGAATCCGGGATCCACGTGCCCAGGTGGAGGCAAGCCTTTGTGCTGCTAATGGTGCAAACTTCCAGTCCCCCTATATTCTGAAAGAACCCCCATGCTACCATGTCAATTACGGCAGGCTCGCGTCGTGCCGACGCGGCGGCGGCCCCGCTGCGGGCGTTCAAGATTGACGCCGACCGAGGCCCAGAACCCAGAATACAACCTGGCGATCGGAAAGCTACAGATCGTTCAGGGTTGAACGATCAACGCGGTGTCAGAGGCCAACGCCGAAGCCGTCACGACGAGAGCTCGCCGTGGAGCCCCCAACCTGCCCAGTCGATCGGCGAATTGCTAGTTTTCGGGTCCTCGGGAGGGCGTCACGGCCGCAATTGTTTGCGGAGCTGCGCCCGCCGAGTCCGACCCCGCCTCGCTCTCACCGGAAGGCGTGCTGCCAGAGGAGGCCGTGGCCGCCCCGGCCAGAGGAGGTTGCCGGGCTTGAGGCTCGAGGCGGCTTCGGGACGCTCTTCGCCTCTGCTGCGCTCTCGGGGGGCCCCGTGGCGTCCAAGACGCTGTAGCAGGGACCCGTTTTGGGGCTCAGGAGGGGATCGAATGTTCGGGCCGTTCCTCAGATCTAGTACGGTAGGTTTGCGTCGTGTCGACCAGCAGCGACCCCAGCGTGGGCGTTCAAGGTTGAACGCCGCTGGCGACCCAGAATCGATCGACGTTGAACGATCGGACGTTGCGGCAGCGGCCAATCGTTCAAGGTTGAACGATCCCTGCGGTGTCAAAAACCAACGCTCGGGTCGGCACGACACGAACCTGTCGTACAGATCTCGGTCGAGAACGCGTTCGTGGCCCAGGCCCGCCGTGGCGAGGAAAGCCCCACCGCTCCCGATTCAGCGTTCCCCGACTGTAGCACGATGGCTGCCCCGCGTCGGCGACGTCTCGCACCGCGTCAGGACCTGCGGGCCGACGTGCAGGACTTCATCTGGCGGTCCGCGCTCGACGCCCGCGCGGCCGAGGCGGTGCTGTGCGAGGACCCCACGGTCCAGCGCGCGCTCTTGGAGTGGGACCAGCGCGGTCGGGGAGCGCCAACTGTACACCCACACCGACCGTGAGATCTTTTTATGCCTCCTAGATGGTGTCGGAGCAGATTGGGTCGGAGAGTCGAGCCGCATCGCCGATGCTTCGACGATGCGGCTCGAAGTGGAGTCAGTGTTTCTCCACACCGACGTTGCCAATGCATCGCCGACTTCGCCGATGCATTGTCAATGCGTCGACGATGCATCGCAGATGCATCGGCGATGAGGCTCGATCCTCTCTGACTCCATCTGTTCCGACCCATCTGGGAGGCGTCTGTACATCCTGGCGTCGCGATGTGTGTCGCACCGCGCGTTTTCGCCTTGTTTCAAGCCCGGGGCCCGTCGCGGATCCATACGGCTTGAACAGTGTTGCCGGAAGTTAGGGTCGAGGGCTCAAGGCGGGAGTCTTGCGATGCTGGATTTTTCCCAACCCTCCTGCGTTGGGTACTCGTTTTGAATAGAGCACTGCGGTCTCCACCTTCCTTCCTTCCCGCCTCCTCCTCCTTTCTTCCCTCTTACTCTCCTCTCTTGCTTCCCTTCTCCTCCTCTCTTCGCTCCTCCTCTTCTCTCTTGCCTTTTACGTCATCCCTTTGGGGCTGCGATCTGTGAAACTGTCGCCACTTTCGAGGGCTGCTGGTGGGTCCAGCGGAGTCAGGCACCACGCAGATTCAGATTAGACCTCGCCATCCCTGGGGGTCTGCGATCTGCGAAACTGTCACCACTTTCGAGGGCTGCTGGTGGGTCCAGCGGAGTGAGACACCACGCAGATTCAGATTAGACCTCGCCATCCCTGGGGGGCTGCGATCTGCGAAACTGTCGTCACTTTCGAGGGCTGCTGGTGGGTCCAGCGGAGTGAGGCACCACGCAGATTCAGATTAGACCTCGACTTTCGAGGGCTGCTGGTGGGTCCAGCGGAGTGAGGCACCACGCAGATTCAGATTAGACCTCGCCATCCCTGGGGGTTTGCGATCTGCGAAACTGTCGCCACTTTCGAGGGCTGCTGGTGGGTCCAGCGGAGTGAGGCACCACGCAGATTCAGATTAGACCTCGCCGTCCCTGGGGGGCTGCGATCTGCGAAACCGTCGTCACTTTCGAGGGCTGCTGGTGGGTCCAGCGGAGTGAGGCACCACGCAGATTCAGATTAGACCTCGCCATCTCTGGGGGGCTGCGATCTGCGACGCTGACGCCACATTCGAGGGCTGCTGGTGGGTCCAGCGGAGTGAGGCACCACCCAGATTCAATTAGACCTCGCCATCCCTGGGGGGCTGCGATCTGCGAAACTGTCGCCACATTCGAGGGCTGAGGGTGGGTCCAGCGGAGTGAGGCACCACGCAGATTCAGATTAGACCTCGCCATCCCTGGGGGGCTGCGATCTGCGACACTGACGCCACATTCGAGGGCTGCTGGTTGCGAAACTGTCGCCACATTCGAGGGCTGCTGGTGGGTCCAGCGGGGTGAGGCACCACGCAGATTCAGATTAGACCTCGCCATCCCTGGGGGGCTGCGATCTGCGAAACTGTCGCCACATTCGAGGGCTGCTGGTGGGTCCAGCGGAGTGAGGCACCACGCAGATTCAGATTAGACCTCGCCATCCCTGGGGGTCTGCGATCTGCGAAACGGTCACCACTTTCGAGGGCTGCTGGTGGGTCCAGCGGAGTGAGGCACCACGCAGATTCAGATTAGACCTCACCATCCCTGGGGGGGGCTGCGATCTGTGAAACTGTCACCACTTTCGAAGGCTGCTGGTCAGTCCCGCGGAGTGAGGCACCACCCAGATTCAGATTAGACCTCGCCGTCCTTGGGGGGCTGCCATTCTGGGAAACTGTCACCACTGACGCGGGTCGTTTCAGAGGTGAGGTTGCCCCTCGGGCTCTCTTGTCACTCAGTTCTTTTGACCACGAGCATGATGAATGATCACTGTGGCGATTTGGCTTGGAAGTGAGGTTGCCCATCATGCCCGCTAATCATTCCCGATTCTTACACCATTGCCAGGTTGTGAAATTAATTTCTTGGGTCGCCATTTTGAAACGCGCGAGTATCGCAAAGCGGAAGACGAGGAAGGGGAAAACGATGGAGTGGAGGTGGAGAAGGAAGGGGGGAGGAGGTCCGGCCCGTGCTGCAGCGGCGGCGGCAATCACCGAGACGTGCTAGCCCTGTCGTGAGGTTGCCCGTCGGGCCCTCGAATTCCCCCGAATCCTGACCACGAGCAGTGCTCACGCGGCGCGAGTGACGCATGATCCGCGACGCGGATCGGTTCAGAGGTGAGGTTGCCCCTCGGGCCCCCTGGTCACTCAACGCTTTTGACCGCGAGCACGATGCATGATCACTGTCGCGATTTGGCTTGGAAGTGAGGTTACCCATCGGGCCCTCTAATCATTTCCGATTCTTGCACCATCGCCAGGTTCGAAATTAATTTCCTATGTCGCCATCTTGACGGGCGCGACTATCGCAAAACTGAAGACGAGGAAGGGGAAAACGATGGGGTGGAGGTGGAGGAGGAAGAGGGGGAGGAGGTCCGGCCCGCGCTGCCGCGGCGGCGGCAATTACCGAGACGTGCTAGCCCTGTCGTGAGGTTGCCCGTCGGGCCCTCGAATCACTCCCGATTCCTGACCACGAGCAATGCCCGCGTGGCGCGAGTGACGCATGATCCGCGACGCGGATCGGTTCTGTGGTGAGGTTGCCCCTCGGGCCCTCTTGTCATTCAGCTCTTTTGACCACGAGCAAGATCACGTCTCGTCTTATCGTCAGCTCTTTCTGTGAGTCGTGCAACATTACGCATCCCATGTGGGTCGCACTACAAATCGCCGCGCCTGCACTGTCACGGTTCCTGCTAATGTTTCCCTACTCCGCTTGCCACTTGATGCCATTGGGGTGGGTACGTCGCAGGGTAATTTTGAAGCGTCGGATCTTTGGGCATGAGGTGTGCTGGCCAGGTCCATCGTGGGCCCAGGGTCGGCCGTGCATCCACGCCTCTTTGTGGGCGATGCGCCATCTTTCGAGTAGGGTATCGACTACAGAATTGTTTTAGCCCAAAGCTCATCATTGCTTCGCCGAAGCTACAACAGACACGTCGAATTTGCGTCGATTCGACGACTGTACGTTTTTTGTGTGGTAAAGTCTGCGAGGAAAACTGTTTGGGGGTCAATGATTCTGCTGTCGATCCCGTACTCGAATCCTGCATGTTTCTCTGGTTTCGGCTTCCTGGGGCCCCTCCCAAGGGTTCCCCGGGGGGAGGGAAGTGCGTCAACAAAAAGGGCAGCCCTGGCTGCAGAGTCGGCCCTGGGGAAAGCCCTGGGGTCCAGGACCCAGCTCCCTTCAGGTCATTGGGCCTGGCTCCCTCCCTTCCCCTGAAAACAGCGACTGATCGTGTGCCCGCGGTTGACCTGGCCGCAGCCGGCGTGTGTGTGCAGCCTGGCGTCCTCCCACGAGACCCTGTCAGCACCGGCGAGAACCCGAGCGCGATCTTGATGTCCCGGCTGAGGCAGGCCAGAGAGGCGCGGCCCACCGAGGGGCGAGGGTTGCTTTGCCGCTGCACCGCTGCTGTGGGTGACGGCGCGTGCCCTATCGGGCTGGGAGCGCCCAGGTTCATGCAGTGGCGAAGCGTCCTGGCGTGCCCATAGGCCCACCAAATAATGTTCTAGTAACCTTGTGTGGCTTCTACGGGATGGTCTTAGAACAGTTTTGGCCGATACTGTCTTGTTGTAGCACATCGGGCGTGCGGTCTGAGAACATTGCTTACGTTGTTAAAAACATGTGTGGGTTCTAAGAAAATTTTGTGGTAGGCCTATAGGAATGCCAGGATGGTCTGTTCCTGCTCAACAGGTGGCCCCCACGGGCGCGAAGATCATCGCGCTTCGCGCATCGCGGCCTGGCCTGGAAAGTGGTTTGGGAGCGCCTTTTGTCCAGGCGTCGGCGCGAGGGCGCGAAGATCACCGCGCATCGCGGAGCGCGAGGCGCTGGAGGCTTCTATGGTGAGGCTCTTTCTCCTCCCAGTCCGCCCACCCCTTCCCCTCCCTCTCCTCGCTTTGCTCACCTCGCCCCTCTCCTCGGCAAGGGGGGTGGGAATCCGAGGGAAAGCGGGGGAGGAAGTGGGGGGTATGCAACAAATCGTGTCGGATCTGACGCAACAAAACCCATACTGATACCAACCAGCAACGCTGAAACGACGCAACGGCTCCAATGCTATGGGATGCGTCATACCGAGCGCCAAAAGAGACTACGCAGACTTGATGCAGACGATGCTTTGGAATTGGCGTGGCATGTTTTGGAGTTGAGGATGTTTTGGATGTTGTGCTGGCCGATCAGCCGAACTCGAAGCTGATATGTATCGCGGATGCGACATACACAATGACGTCGAGACGCACCATCCCAAGAGATCCGACGTGCCCCACTCCACCCGCCCCCCCCAAAAGAACCGCAGCGTCGTGGCCAACAGAAAACACAGCGTCCCCGAACATCTTTCAGCAGAGCCCATCCCATCTTGTTGCTGCATGCTTCGAGCTGGATCGATGCGAGAGGACCCCAGGCCCCAGAGTCGGGGCAAGAGCACCCCCAAATCGTGATTTTTTGGCTCACGCCGCGCCGCCGACCCCTTGGGGCGGCAGCAAGAATGAAAGACAGATTTCGCGGAACGCGCGCGATCGCTCGGCAATCCTGGGGTTTCGGCCTGTCCTACGTACCGTGTGGGGTTCAAGGGGGGGCCTTGTAGGGGATTGTTTTGAAGTTCTTCGTGGTCTTATGTGAGTTTTGGGGGGCCTTCACGGGGCCTGTCCCAGGCCTCCTTTTCCACCTCCTGGATAGGCTCGGGGATCCTTGAGACCCAGCTGGGGTTGCGTCTGGCCAGAAGTTCGAGAGTGGACCCACCACGCGCCGGCACGGCACGCTCGACACGCGGAGCGCGTCGCGGTCACCCCAAATGGAAGCATCAACGCTCCGAGTTTTCTCCAGCCTCCCGAGGAGGCATCAACGCTCCGAGTGTTCTCCAGCCTCCCGCCCCACGAGGCAGAGCGTCACGCCATCGGCGTGCGCACAGCGTGTCGCCGGGGCCGCCGCCGCGACACGCTGTGCAAAAGTGTGGTGGCCGTAATGCCCCCCCCCCCCTTTTCAGGGGCAACGATAGGGGGTAGGCTCAGGGGGAGATGCAGCGACCCCCAACCGCCGATTCATCGCCGCTAGGGGTCCGATAACCCACCCTGCCCAGGAACGTGTGGACTCCTTGTCGAGAGCCTATCCCAGATCTATCGGCGACGTCTCGCCGATTCCAGCTGGATGCTTCCCCCCTGAGCTAGTCCCCCTGGCCGTTACCTCCCCCCTCGAGAACATCAGCCCGAATCTGAGGGCATCTCCGAGAGGCGCCGCGCGGTGCTCTGCGCTGTGCCGACCTCGAGGCCGGCGAGCGCTGCGCCGATTTCGAGATGGGTCGCTGCTGGCGCGGGCGAAGCTGCAAGTTCGCACACCAAGAGGCCACGCGCGCGCGCGTCCGCTCGGGTCGCGTATCGCGGAGGAGGAGGAGAAGGAGGAGGAGAAGGAGGAGGAGGAAGAGGAGGAGGAGGAGGAGCAGGAGGAGGAGCTTGAGGCTGAAGCGGTTGTGGGGACCCTTAATTTCCGAGGAGTAGACATGGATCAAGGCGCGTGGACTAGCGCCAGGCCCCCTTTCCGCACAGACTTGGCGCGCCCCCCGTCGCCCAACTAGGCGGAGTTAGCGGACCGCCGCTGAACCGTATTAGGGGCGCAGAAACGGTGGGAACACTTGTTGATTCATCTAAGCAAATGTTCCCATGCTGCCCCGGCGTTACTTGGTTCTTCCAGGATGAGTTCTTAGAGCTATTTTGCATTTCTTCGCGGATCTGGAGGACCCTGATGCGCAGGCAGGGGAGGAGGAGGAACAAGGGAAGTGAGGAGGAGAAGGAGGAGAAGGACAGGGAACTCGGCACGAGCTTTGAGCTTTCAAGTGGGGAGGGACTTGAGTTTCTCACCCTCCTAATCAGCGAACTAATCTGCGCAAGAGGGCCCCCCTCTTTGCAGGGTCTTCGCAGGGTCGTTCCAGGGGGTTCGCCCTGCAGAGACCCTGCAAAGACCCTGCACGGGGGGAGTCTTGAAGGTCTCTTGGAGCGATACTTGGGCCCATGGCTCACAAAGGCGGGGGCAGGAAAGTCAGGTACCCCTTTTGGAGTCTCAAAAAGAGCATCTTGGGGCCCTCTTGGGACGCTCTTGGGGCGCTCTTGGGGCCTTCTTGGGGCCCTCTAGGCCCCCCCTTGGGCCTGCCTTGATTGGGGCCCATCGGGCCTTCCAAACACGGGGAAACGACAGGGTACCGATACCGCTTTCCCAGACCTCTCCCGGGATGCCTTCTGATTCTGATTTCGATCGGAATCCAGCTGTGGCGACGAGGTCCTCCCAGGAGACGTGAAGCCTCGAATGCCTGGCCAGGGTAGCGGTATCGGTGCTTCCTCCTCATCCTCGTCCACCTTCTTCTGCTCCTCCTCCTCCTCCTCATCCTCATCCTCATCCTCATCCTCATCCTCCTGCTCTTCCTCCTCCTCCTCCGAAAACAGGCCTCTCGCCGTGGCTTTTGTTGCTCACGGAGCGCGGAGCGGTCTGCACACAGCGGCCCCTCGGCAGCGACCGCGCGAGTCCTCCGCCAGGAGCGGCGGCCGCGGCCGGGCGGCCCGCCGCGGCCGCTCGACCCGCGGCTCGCCGCGGCGCTGGCGGCGCGCGGCGGCGGAACGCTCGCCGACGAGGCGGCCGCGGCGACGCCCGCGGCGGCGGTGGCGACGCCCGCGCCGGCCGCGCTGGCCGCGGCAGCGCCCGCGGCGGCTGCGCCCGCCGCCGGGGCCGAAGGCGATCGTCACGAGCCAGAGGGCCAAAGCTTCGAGCTTCGGGGGGGGGCCTCTGATGTGGCCACGGCCAGAGTCGCCTCCGAGTTGTTGTCTCAGAACGTCTCTCGGGAGAGGTCTGGGATCCGATTTGCGACCCCTGGACCCAGAGGCTGCCGGCACGGGAAGGGAGCGGGAGCCAGAAGTCGGAGGAGGGAGGGTGAGCGGACACCCCGAGAGTCCGGGGAATGGTCTCGGGGCCGCTTTTCAGCTGCCGCTGTCTTGATTTGCGCTGCTCCGAGGAAAGTGTGGTAGGTTCATGTCGCGTCGGCGCGGCTGCGATCACTCCGCGAGCGTTCAAGGTTGAACGCCTCCAGAGGCCCAGTATCGACCAGTACGGAGTGATCTGGCGATTGAAACGGCGCTGATCGTTCAAGGTTGAACGATCCACGCGGTATCAGGAACCAACGCCCAGGTCGACACGGCACGAACCTGCCGTAACGGTAGACACGATGCTGAGAATGGCGTTTCGTCCCATTGTGTGCATTTTGATAAACGTGCGCGCGCATAGAATTGTTTGGCAATGGATGTGGGGGGTTCGAACTCTGGCCTGCCTGGGATGGTACGAACTCGTATTCTGGATGGACGATTGGGGCATTGCTATATGTAAATTACACATCCCCTGGGTGTACCGATAAGTCCGGCCTCGGGAGGGTGGTGGGTCTTAGTTTTTCTTTTGGGAGGACAATCAATATTTGTTCGCAGTGAGTTGTCCACCCCACGGCTCGCGCAATCATCCCACCCACCCACCTGCAACTTGGTTTGCAACACCCATGCGGTGGCGATTGCGATGAGTGCTTGGAGTTGGTTCGTGCATCTCTGCGGCCGCGCTAGCCCGCGCATGCTCGCGCGCGCAGTGGCCAGCTTGTTTGGCGCTACCGACGTGGCCGCGGTGGCTCTGACCGCCGGGCATGTACCAGCGTGCACTTCCGTGCGAGTCGGCGACTTGGGCGGGCGCGGTATCATGGTAACGTCGAAAACGGTAGACGCGATGATGATGACAGCGATATTATTCGACGGTGATAACAATGACGACGGCAAGGCCAGTGACGGCGCCGATGTTGATCACGCCGACGACGATGACGGCGACCTTGTCTCGGTAATGAAGGTTTTGGACGGAGTTCCACATGTTCACGCGCGGCCGACGCGCGAGAGTGGCCCGAATGATATGATTTTCCATAGATCGTGCCCCCCCCAGCAGAGAAGTTTTTAATGCAAGTATTGGAAAGCCATTGAGTGTATTAAATAATCGCAGGAGCCCGAGCGTGCGTTTTTCGGTTTGATTTTTTTGTTGCGAAGCCACTTGCGTATTATTTGTGTTTGAAACACTCGGCCCTGCAATCCCTACGTGACCAAAGGTCTTTCTGGAGGAATCCCGCATGCGCGGGCGACGACGCGAGCGCGCGCACTTCGTCCCATTTGTTGCAAGAGGTTCTTCGACAGCACGCGCGCGCGAGGGCGGTCGAGCGATTCCGACATGCGCGCGCGAGTGGCCCGTTCGACGTTCGATCGCAACGCATGAACATGTTGGAAAGCGTGCGATTTTCTGAATGAGCCGCAAGAGCCCGAGCGCGTCGTCATTTTGGTACTGAAATCTTGTGTTGCGAAACCATGTGTTTGTATATGTGTTCGGGGCAGCCGATGTTGAAATGCCTGCGGGACCTTGGTTGTTGAAGGATTGCGGCTTGCGCGCGCGACGCCGCGCGCGCGTGCTTTGCGTCCATATTTGTCATGGGATTTTTGAACATTGATGTTTTTTGACGAACGGGCGCGCGCGTACGGTTTTCTATGCAGGACGAGCGAGCGGGATACCAGCTCGCCTGGGGTGGTTTGCGTTCGTGTCTATGGTGGACGATCGGGCAAAATTGCATGTAAATTGGGACGCGTTGGTTCCCGGGGGTGTGATTTATTGTGATTTAAAAAAGGAGAGCCAATTTTGTGCGCATTGTCAATGGTGCACACGGCGTGGTGCAATCGAGAGAAACGCCCGGGGCGTCTTCAAAATCAGGGGCCTGACTTTGAAGACGCGCCGGGCGACAAGGAACACGAAAAACTCGAACAAAAGGAACAGCTTCTCATGAATACCGCATGCCACCACTTCTGGGCAACCCTGACCCCCCTACTTGAATTCCATGCACGCCACCACAGGCAGGCAACAGAGAACGTGACACACATCACTGCTCCGCCACTCGGATGGTCCTGAGGCGCAGGAAAGGCATGTCGCCTTGCCGGACACAGGGGGAGAGGCAAGAGGGGCGAGAGAAGGGGGGAACGAGGACGGGGGAGGGAGGGGCGAGAGGGGGGAGGGAGGGATGAGGGGCGAGAGGGGGGAGGGAGGGAGGGGTGGAGGAAAGAGAGGCGAGAGGGGGGAGGGAGGGATGCGGAGGTGGCCTCGCGCGTGGGGCACGAGCGCGCCCTCTTGTCCCCCCTGGCAGGCCGGCCGCGGCGGCGGCGAGCCCTGGAGCCGGGCCAGGCACGGGCGCACGGGGGGCACGGCGGGCCTCCCGAGCACCCTCCCGCCCCGCGGGGCCAGGACGCTCCTCCTCCTCCTCCTCCTCCTCCTCCTCCTCCTCCTCCTCCTCCTCCTCCTCCTCCTCCTCCTCCTCCTCGGGTCGCCTACGGCCCCGGGGGAAACCGTGCAGGGGGGGGCGGATGGCTCAGGGGGGGCACGGCAAGGCCCAGGGCAAGAGCCGCTCCACAGCTCGGGGAAACGTAAGACTCGAGTAAGCCGGGGCTCGGGTTCGCCGACGTTTTCTGACGAGCGCGTCCTGGATGTTTTGACGGCCCAGTTTTTTGTGGGGGAGGTCTGCAGCGGGCGCTCGCGTTAACTTTCAGAGCGGGTCTCGTCATGTCTATGATGGCCCCCGTCAGGCCAACCCGAATCCCCCGTACTCGAGTCTTACGTCTCCCCGAACAGCGTTTTGGAACGCTCTCGGAGCGTTCTGGAACGCTCTGAGACGGCCGCGGCGCCCGAGACATCCTCCAGAGCCGCCCGATCTCAGAGATTCTCGATTTATCCTCACCCAATTTTGTCCTCGTCCTGGCTTCGTCTTATCCCAGGCTTGCAGCGTCTTGGAACCCAGACCCCTTCTGGTCAGGGCAAATTCGCGACGGGCGGTTTTTGATTGTGTCCGGTCTCCAGGGGCCCTTCCCAAGCCCTGACACCTTCAAGAAACGACTCGGGATGAAGAGCTGGTCCCAGGGAAAGGGTCCAGACGTCTGTGGGCCCGCACCCTGAAAAATATCACCACGGCGGGGCGGCGGGTAAAAAGCGAGGGCGCCCTCGAGGGCGCGAAGTTATTCGCACTTCGCGGCTCGGCTCCGATGTCTTCTCGTCCTCCTTTCCTCCCCTGGGGGGGCGGCGGGAGAGCACAATGTTATTCGCGCTTCGCGCAGCGCGAAGCTCGAAGTCAGGCGCCCCTGGTAAAACAGGCAGGGCGGATGCTTCTCACGGGTGCGGCATTCGGGTCGGGCGACGGGGGGTGCGGCAGAGGGTAAGCACGGGGTTCGAGAAATCTGCTGCATGCAGCTGGTCGCGGCCCCGCCGCCGAGCGTTCGGGAGCAAACCCTGGGAGCCTTCTATACAGTCAAAGCCCGTATCGTGAGCCTGCGCGTGTGTGGCAAGGATGCACGAGCCTCGGAGGGCCAGGTGGACGTTTTTCGAGCGATGGTGGGCAGCAAAAGTCGCTAAGGATCGGCCGAAGGGGCAAGGATGCACGGGTAGCCTTGGGAAGGGGCAAGGATGCACGGGTAGCCTTGGGAAGCTGTTCATCTTGCCCGTGCGGGTTGACGATGCCCTTGCAATTCCGCCTTTCGAGTGCACTCGCGTCGATCATCGATGAGGCAACGCGCCGAGTCGGCGTAGGCGAGCGTCGGTTAGCGTCGATGTAGCGTTGACTTCGCGCCGACTGGCGTCGACTTACAGGAGCCAATCAGATCGTGTGGGAGGCTCCCGTTAGTTGACGCAGAACCAGCGCTTTCCGATCTGGTGGCGCCTCCAGACCGGCCTTGCATCCTGGGCCGTTCCTTGGAGGTCCCAGTACCCTGCGAGGGCCCCCGCGGGCCGGAAGCAGCAGCAATGGCCACAAGAGCAACGCCCGCCGTGCTGTGGGTACCCCGTCTGTATCGCAGCAAGTTCTTCTGCTTCGCAGTCGGGTGCTCCATTTTTTTCTGCAGCACCGCCGTGATGCGCTCCGCTCTCCGCCTCTCTTTGTGCACCATTCTCGAGGGGTTGCCCCTCGCGTGCTCTTCTGCCCGCGCGTCTTTAACGAGCACGGGGGGGGTCTCGGTGGTCGGCTCTCTGAGGGAACGCGGCGACGACAAAAAGAACTACGACGACGGCGGCGACGACGACGACGGCATCGCGGCCCGACCCTGGGGCCCTGACCGGGCCCTGGCGTTCCTCCCTTCCTCCTCGCGCCTCGCTTCCCTTTTTGCGAGCGCCGCCGTGCGCCGTGCGCCCGCGCCCTGTCTCGGCCCTCGGGCCGGAGCCCTTCCTCGGACTCCTCCTCGCGTTCCTTCTCGGGTTCCTCCTCGGATCCCTCGAGGCCCTCTCGGGCTCCTCGTCGGATTCCTCGGCTCCTCCTCGAGTCCTCGCTTCCTCTTGGATCCCTCCTCGACTCCTCCTCGATTTCTCCACTCCTCGAGTCCTCCATCGCTCCCTGGCTTCTCCCTCGTTCTCCCTCGACCCCCTGGGCCCCTCCGATCCTCCCTGTGCCCGCCCGACCCCCTCTTCGGGTGTTGCGAGAGGCGGCCTTGGCCCCAAGGTGATGTGACCCCAGCTGCAGCGGGGAAGCCCACGTGGCCCCCGAGAACTAACTCTTTACGAGCGCGAGATCCGACATCAGAAGAACGGTTAACCAGCGCGGATAAAAGTAACATTCAGTTCTTGGTGTACTGTGGAAGTGCAAGCTATGTGGCGCAACCAATGCGGGTTAAGCTATGTGCTATGTGGTGCAAGCCAAGTGGTGCAACATACGTTGTGCAATCTACGTGATGCAAGTTATGTGGTACGAGCTGTAGGCTGTGTGGTGCAAGCGATGTGGTTCAAGCTCTGTGCTTTAGGGTATGTTGTGCAATGTACGTGGTGTTGTATACGTGGTGTAAGCTTTGTGGTGCACGCTACGTTGTGCTATCTGCTTGGTTCGATGTCTGGCGGAACTTGAAGTCGTCCACCCCAGTGTCCGCGCAAGCACCCCACTCTCCCACACGCATCTTTTGTGGCAACGCCCGTTCGGCCGCAATTGAGGTTTCCCGATTGGAGTTTATTGGCGCGTCTCCACGGCCGCGCTGGCGCGTGCACGCTCGTGCGCACAACGACCTTCTGGTGTGGCGCACCTGATGCAGACGCGATGGCGCTTGTCTTGGTTCTTCTTAAATCTGCCCCGGGTGTTTCCTTACCATTTTTAATCCGGCGTTTTGGAAATCACGTCTTGGAGATTGAAGCTCCCAGCCAGATAGTTTTACACTAAGAAGCTAACAGTTCTGTTTTGCGTTAAGAGCTCCGTTTCTGTAGCGTTTTCAAATCAGTTGACTGTCGCTGCTGGCAAGTCGCAGGGGCCTCGGGGCCTATTCCGTTCCTGTGTGAGACTGGCCAATGGTGGCCCAGGGGATCCCGCCAGTATCCCCCCGCTGCAAGGGCGAAACGGAGTCCAATGACTCTACCCCGCCGGTTGGCCGGCGGTGGCCCGGGGGTGTCCCTCCAGTGTCCCGTGCTGTCCCGTGGTGTCCCGTGGCGCGGCGTCCCGTGGTGTCCCCTGCTGTCTCGTGAGGTCGATTACGGTATCGATAGTGCGATTGATAGTGCGATTATCAGTGAGATCGATAGAGACCAATCGATAGGCTGATCGGTAGTGAGGCCAACTGTGAGATCGATTGATATTGAGATCGGGAGATAGAGGGAGATCGGTCGCGATATGTACAGATTGAGAGTGAGATCGATAGAGATGTGGCCAAACTGATTGCCATGTTCTTCCGTAGAACCTCCTCAAGCACGAAGAGGGGCCAGGCAAACAAATGCCATCTGGATCGATAGTGACACCGATCGTATTGTCGAGAGTGAGATCGATATATAGGTTGTAGGATCGGCTGGTATTGAGCCGATAGATACTGAGTTCGATCAGTAGCCAAGCCGTTCGAGTGGGATTGCTGGTGACATCGGTCGCGGGATCGAAAGTGAAGTCTGATTGAGATCGATACTGGGTTCGATTGAGTGAGACGCTGGTTTCCCTTACCACGCACAGCTTCCTTATTAACCGAAGGGTGGTCGTCGAGGTACAAAAATAAGCATACGTAGCACCCCGCAATTGCGGATAAGAGTGAGGGGGCGGGCGCGGGCGACACGGGCGTCGTCGAGCCGGCGGACCTCGTGGCCCCCACCTTCCCTGTCCATGGCGCTGTCCCCCTCCTCCTCCTCCTCCTCCTCCTCCTCCTCTTCCTCGTCTTCGTCCTCATCGTCATCGTCATCCTCCTCCTCCACCTCGTCCTCCTCCTCCTCCTCTTCTTCCTCGTCCTCCCTCTCCCCCCCTCGTCCTGTCATTATCGTCCTCCCCCTCATCGGCCTCCATCATCGTCCTCCCATTGTTGTCTATCATCATCATCATCATCATCCTCCCCCTCCTCCCCCTCCTCGTCCTCCTCCTCCCCCTCCTCCCCCTCCTCGTCCTCCTCGTCCTCCTGCTCCTCCTTTTCTTTCTCCACATTCTCCTTACATCCTCTCTTCTTCCGCGTTCTCCTCGTCCCCTGTTTACTCCTCCTGCCTCCCCCTCCTTCTCCCAAGATAACTGCAACGCAATCCTTTTTTCCACTTTATGCTCCCCGCCTTCTATGATTAAGGCAACTCGCCAGGGCAGAGTTGCTGGACGGGCTGGTGTGGATGCGCGGGGCTTGAAGAGGTCCTTGCGGGCTCAGGCGGCATGCAAAAATCCGCCGCCGCGCTTGTGCGGCATTGGTTTGTTCAGTGAGCGTGGTTTAGGTCGCGGGTGGGTCGCGGGCTCTCCACCTCCACCTGGAAGGAATGCAAAAGCAGCCCGCCGCAGGCGCCCAAAAAATTGGTTTGTACACTGAACGTGGTTTGGGTCGCGGGTGGGCCGCGGGTTCTCCACCGGGAACGAATGCAAAAGATGCCCGCCGCAGGCGCCGAAAAATGTGGTTTGTACCCTGAACGTGGTCGCGGGTGGGCCGCGGGCTCTCCACCTGAAACGAATGCAAAAGATGCCCGCCGCAGGCGCCGAAAAATGTGGTTTGTACCCTGAACGTGGTTTGGGTCGCGGGTTGGTCGCGAGTTGGTCACGGGGTGGGTCGCGGGCTCTCCACCTGGAAGGAATGCAAAAAAAACCCGCCGCAGGCGCCGAAAATGGTGGTTTGTACCTTGAACGTGGTTTGGGTCGAAGGTGGGTCGCGGGTGGGTCGCGGGGTAGGTCGCGGGTGGGTCGCGGGTGGGTCGCGGGTGGGTCGCGGCGCGCGGGCGGGTCG